AGCTCAGTAGGAGGAACAAAGTGGGGAGGGGAATGCATGCCGGTGTATATAGGCAGTCAGACGAAACCCAAAGCAAGAGTGGAGGCATTGCAGCGGGCAGAGGTGTCGCGACAAAAGCAGAAGATGGAAGCAGGGTGAGGCACAAGCACGGCATGAGGGGAGGGTTGCATTAGAAGTTGTTAGAGGAACTCACATCATATCCCCTCACTTACCCGCTGCTCATTTTCCACCACTTTCTTCCACCCTCTCTTACCCACTATGTTTTTGACAACGCCTTTCCCTCTCACTTGCCGACCCTCTCTTTTTCTCTACGCCTTCCCTTCTCACTTGCCCATCATCTCTTTCCCTCTTATTTCCCACTGCTTCTTTTCCACCCTATCTTTCCTAACTCTTCAGGCCACATTTTTATAGTAATCTTGTAATAACTTGACTTCCTTTTGGGTCTGTCTTGTTTTAGGTCTTAACAAGGTAGTAAATCAAGTTTTTAGGGCATCGGAGCTATAACTATGCAAATGGTTATTTTTCTTATTCTGGCGGTTATTTTGTTCTAGTTCTTGCAGTAGATGAGCTTATGATAAGTTTGATTTTCGGTTTCCGTTTGATTTGAACATTAGAGTTAGAACTAATCGGTTAGAATCAACCCTAGGTAGTATATAGACTCAATCCCCACGTGAAACTTATAAATTTTTTGTGTGTATTTTGTGTAGGTGACGATGAAGAGCCTTTTTAGCAAGGGGGAGAAGGCCACGACTGAGGGCTCTTAACAAAGCGACTGAGGAATAAGGGAGCTGCATTCATGACGGACTACGATCAGTCCTATGTGCATGGGAAGTGTTTGGGGATGGTGCGCCGGCCGAAGCACTCGGCCGGTTGCTTCCTTTTTTTCACGCGCGGGACACGCTGGCACGCGCGCGCTTAGTTGACCCAAACGTTTTTCACTTTTTTTTCTTTTTCTTTGCTTCTTCTTCCTTCCGCCTCCGCCTGATCCCATCTCTCCTCCTCCATTGTAGCGCGTGGAGCAGCTCGCCGCCGGCCATGGATATAGAGGTTGCAGCCCCGCTCTCATTCCCACCTCTTTTTTCTTCCTTCTCCCTCTCTTCCCTTTTCCTCCTCCTCTCTTCCCCTTTTGTTGCAACCGGCGACAGGCAAAACGCCGGGAGGACCGAGGTGCCCGTGCTACAACCATGGCCACGGGGGAGGAGCTGCAACCGTGGTACTGGGAGAGTTGCAAACGGCGTTTTCCCGTGCTACAACTATGGACACAAAAAGCTACAACCAATAGATAAAAAAGCTTCATCCAGACAACAAAATACAGGAAAAGTTACAACCGTTTGACAAAAAGCTTCAACCCGCAGATGAAAAGCTTCAACCAGAGATTGACAAATCTTCCTCGACGACGACCATGGCGTCTCTCTGTGATTTTGCTGCAACCGAACGATAGAGGAAGATTTCACCCAGGCGCTGCTCAAAACGACAAAAGTTTCAGTCGTTTACAGAAAAGCTTCCACCATAGAGGGGAAAAGCTTCAACCATTGAGAGAAAAGCTACAACCGTGTCAATTTTTTGCTACTACCATCTGTGTGTTTTGCTACATCCATTCATGCGGTCGTGGCACTTTTTTACGACAGAGGCGTGACCGGCGACGACGAGGACGGCATTTTTGTTGCAACAACCTTGTTTTTGCTACAACAGATGCGGTGACAAATGCTACAACAAGCGGTGACATGCAGCGGACCTGCATCTAGCGGGCTTTTTTGCTACAACGACATCTGTTTTTTGCTGGACCAACAAATTTTTGCTACATTCGGCATCGTTTTTTGCTACAGCCGGCATCGTTTTTTACTGGAACTAGTCAAGTGTCTAGCTTCCACCAAAGAAGAAAATGCTTCAACCGTTTGTGGTGGAAAAAACTTCAAGAGTGGCATGAGGAAAAATCTTCCACCGCGGGGGAAAAGTTTCAATGGTGGAAAAAGGTTCAAACGGCAATGAAAAAGCTTCAACCGCCAGAAGAAAAAGCTTCAAGCGGTAATGACAAAAAAGCTTCAACCAGGGGAGCCGGGCGAACGACCTGTGGCGACAAGGACGGCGACCGGCGGCCGGGGGCGGCAAGGACGGCGACCGGAGGCGACGAGGACGGCGACCGGGGGCGAGGACGGCGACCGGGTGGCAACAAGGATGGAGATCGGTAAGCGGGGCCAAGGACGGCGACCTGGCGGCAAAAGGACGGTGACCGGGGCGAGGGTCGTGAGCCGGTGACGAGGACAGAGACCGGCGATGAGGACGGCCACTAGAGGGGACTGGAGGCGCGACGACGAGGACACCGAGCAGGAGCTGCAGATCTAACCTGAGGTAGAAGAAGCCGAATCAATTTTTTTTTGCTGCATCCAGTGGCCACGCAGGCTCGCATTCAAGGACTGGGGCAGGACCGGCCGAAACTTTCGGCTGGTGCGCGAGCGCCTAGCATCGCCCTGCATTCAGAGTGCTCGCGATGAGTATCCCCACTAGGTCGCCTTCAATGATGGAAGACCGAAAGGACTGAACCGAACAAACCGAACACCCAGGCTTAGTCTAGAGGGGCCGTGCCTGGGCCCAGTTAGTAAACGTGCCGTGACATGACAGGCCTGTTTAGCGTTGGACGGGCCG